AAAATGGTTACTGGTGTGCTTGGCTGCTAACAGAAAGGGTGGAGGTTTGAATCCACTCAGAGATGCCTTCCAAGAATGGCCTGGTGATCTCATTCTGAAAATCAGCCATTGAAAATGCTCTGGAGCAGTCATCCTCTGACACACATGGAGTCGCCAGGAGTAGGAGTCAGCTCAATGACAGCTAATTACCAACGGATGAGAAGGAAAGGATTCCACCTATCATTATCACCCAGCAGCACAACTTTGGAACAGATAGGAAAGAGAAGACAATAGGCTAGGATTTCTGCATGTTATTAGAGCCACAGCTTTCTGAAATGGAAAGCTTAGGAAAGTCCATAGCCAGATGCATCCACTCTTGCCTATTTATTGGCTTTTGCATTTATGTATTGATTGCCTTAAGCTATTTACTTTGCAATTCATTCTTCTCTGTAATTACTTCCCTCTTACTGACACCTGACCCTGAATAAAGTCTCCCAAAGAAATTGTCTGTAGGCAGAACATTTGTTCCAACAAGATATTGCATCTGGCTCTGTGAAGATTGCTCCTATCAAGGCTTCACCTGAATTTTGTGACTATTTTATTTGGTTTCCGGTATTTTGTGGTGGGCTTGCAAAGTGCTTTTGACTAACTTTAATAACTTGCTTCTTCTGGGCATAAAAGAAAAGGAATCTGGCCATATTTGGATCCAGAAATTGGGGACATTTTGAGACCAAAGGGACAGAGGTTGGGAAAAATGGTAGATCGGAGAAAATGCCTTGGGGAGGGTTTGGGCAAAGCCACAAGACTGGAAAAAAGTTAGGAGAGTGAAAATCAGAAAGGGTTCTGCCACCGTATTCATCAACAGGAGTTGCTTTCCGATTCTTTCACAGGCATGGTTACTCCTGACATGGAGTAAGTCACTCTCTGGCTCCCACACAGCCACATGCTTGGAAGTGAGGACCTGTGGGACACGGAAACTAAAGGTCCTCAACCTAGTCCCATACTCAGCTTTAATTTCTGTCTTCCTCTTCTCAGGCTCCCTCAAGACTGGCAAAGATTGGAACATGCCCAGAATCCCTCAGATCAGCCAGTTACATCCCATGAGACCTCAGAGCAACCTCCAGGGTCAATTTTATACATAAACGTAGTGGGACTTTGAGGGGTAGGGTGGGAATTCAAAGAGCTAATTCTGGACACATTGGGGGTCTTTCTTTAGGTTACTTAAAGCACCATACCACAGATTCTGCATCCCCAAAGGTCAGAAGTGCAGAGATGCAGGACTGTGAGTATATTGTGCAGGACGCATATGGATGTTTGCTAAGATATACCTACATACATGTGTACACACTGACACATACACATTTGCAGAAGGGGTCTGAGTCCAGTCTCCCACTCTCTCACTGCCTAACATTCAGGTAAGTGGTTCTGGGTGAGGGTGGGCTTTTTTATGTTGATATCCTGGTGCCCTACTCTGTGAAGTTGAGGTGTCCACCATCCCATTGCCTTCTTCACTCTTAGTCCACGTTGTGCAGTTCTCATAAACAGGTTCATCACTCCCTTAGGTCTTGACTCTTGGCATTGTTCCTTGGAGAAACTAAGGAAGCAGTTTCCAGTGACTTATCCATGCTCGGGACCAGCAACTCCTCCCTAAAATGTACAGTTAAGGGAAAAAAAGAAAAACATTTAGGAAGGGCAAAGAATGAACTGAAACTAAAGAAAAACAAAAC